ATATCATATTTTAACCTTGATCAAATAAACCTACTTTATATTCCTTCCTTTTACTTCAATCAGTCTTAATCTTTAATTCGATCAAAGATTGTTGTAGCACTTGATTTCTCTTCAATTCTTTATCCCATCGCACAGATTTTTTCAAGGCTTTAACAAGCCTCTATTGTAGATCCAATAAGAAAACATTTTCCAAGTCATTCTCTTAGTTTATCATTTGTATTTCCCTTTTAATTTTTAAAACTTCAGCCAGTTTCTTTTGTATACCCAGCAGAGCATCCTTTTCCATAACATTATCTTGGCCTGTCATTTGTAGTTCCACTTTCAGTACTTTCTCTGTCTTGTCAGTTCCACATTTTTTATTCCTTCATTAACATCTTTTAGACATAGCCTATCCATAGAAGCAGACATCATCACTGACAGTGTTGATGTTGCAGTTACTAATCTCTGGCTCCATTCTTCAAACATCTCCTTTAATATTTCTGATGTTATAATGTTTTGTGTCATTTTGTAAGTCCCAGTATTAACTGACATCAACAACAGGCTTGGGTTTTTTTTTTCTTCTGCTTAGAATCTTTAGTCCCCTCTAGTGTCCAATTACTAAAATCATCATGTATCTTTGTTATGACTTACAATAGCCAGGATGGCCAAAATATACAGTGGTACCTCGGGTTACGAATTTAATCCGTTCCGTGACTCTGGTCGCAACCCGATTTGTTTGCAACCCAAAGCAAATTTTCCCATAAGGTTCAATGTAATTACCATTAATCTGTTCTGGTGTCCGCGGACCACACGGCAGGGCAGAAAAACGGCCGTGGACCGCGCAGCAGGGCGGAAAAATGGTCGCAGACCACGTGGCACGGGTGGAAAATGAGAAGCTGTTTCTTTTTTATAATTAATTCCAAAATCCTATCGTAAAAGTCAATATTCCAAATTTATCTGAACCCTTAATCCATTCATAACTCTTAGACCAAAATCTTATTTAGCTTTTTGCTGTTTATTTGAAATTCTTTAAGTTCTTAAGCTTATAATTAAGGTTTCTTTTGTTCAGAGTTGAAGATAAGCTCACCTGATGAAGACTTTTCAAACTTCTCATTCTGAAGGTCTCTAACAGCTTTAGGATGGTTAATGGGCAATTTCCAAAAGTGATTAGAAAGTGAGGTTTGCAAACTTAGTGTCCCTTAAAAGGCTTCGTCGTGGTTGCAAGCAAGATGGCTAGTCCCATTGGTCTCCTAACAAGGACCAGCCATCTGGAGCACATGTGGGCAATCTCCCATCCCCTCCTTATCTGGAGAGGTTCCAAGGAACTGGTTCCTTGGTCTTTGCTGCAGTCGTCGGCTCCATCTTTTGCAGAGCCATCTTCAGTTTGCCATACCTCCCTTGGAAGTTTAGATCTGGGCAGAACATAATGAGACACAAGATGGCTGAGACTAACAAAATTTAAACAGCAGATATTTTTGCCTGTTTTCCTTAGAATTCCTCCTACTTTCTCCAGTTAGAGGAAGTTATAACAATTTTTTTTAAGTAGCATTCAAAATTCATCATTAATATGATTTGTTTTTATTCTTTTCTGTATCTGTGTATGTATTCAAAATAATGTAAAGAATATCAATTGCATATAGTCTGATTATTTCTATGTTTGAACTAGAATTTGACAATATAAATAATTTCCTTACATGTTTCTGCTCTACTGGCTATAGGGAAGGACAGCATTACATTGGTTGTGTAACAATGGCTACCTTGATGCTATAAAGCTGTTGTTGGGGTTCGGTGCCTTTCCCAATCATATGGAGAATAATGAAGAAAGGTATTGTTTATTAAATAATATCTCTGTTGTCTTTCTGGGACTTCTTCTGATCAGATTGTTAAATATATCCTACTGCAGAAAGTGTAGAGAGATAAATCAGAAAGTCACTAGCTTGGACTTTACCTCTACCATGATTTTACCAACAAGCTATCCTTTTTGCAAATTACATGCCCCTCAGTACTATATGCTGGATATGTATAGTAACATGCTATAACTACTTTAACAGCAAGTAACATGAAATGCTTTGAACACAAAAAAACTATGCTATTTATGTATACGATGCTGACTGGGGAATCTAGGACATGTAGTCCAAAACATCTGGGAGTATTCAGATTGGAGAAGGCTGGGCTATACAAATCTTAGTAATGTTAATATTTGGAGTACAGTGTCTGATTAATCAGTGTTTAAAAACTGGGGCGGCAGTTTTTAAACACTGATACAGTTTAAAAATGTTTAGCTGTATATTATTTTTACCTTAATTACTTTTAAAACTGTAGTAGCAAGAGCAGCCTTAGATGCATTGATTAAATCTAATAAATAATAAACTATTGGGGGACATCATGTTGGGTCTTTGTGTGTGATATGACCTCCCCAATTTTATTATCAGCAGTTGCTCCTCCCGAGAATATATTAAGCACACCTCTCCCAGCCACCCAAACACTACCTGTCTTTGCCAGAGGGCTGGAGAACTAGCAAAAGGGAGATGCTTTTCTGTTCTACCAATTCTCTTTTTCAAATATATAAAACATGCTTCCTCCAATCCTGTTTTTCCTCAGTCACTCAGATCAATATGTTGCTTATCTTCCTTATTTCATGGCTATTGTAACCTCTACTTGAACATTCAGTAGGGCTGTAGACACTAGGTCAGTGATTGTCAAAGTGTAGCCTGCTGCAGCTTCTCCACATTCAATACCTGCTGCCTCAGCCCCATCTCCCCACCCCACTGATAAGTGTTGGCAAGACCCACTACCTCCCCCCAACCTCAACTTTACTTTATATAAAATTTAATTTAGAAAGTCCCTTTAAAATGGAGGGATGGCAAGGCATACCCAAATGCAACTGTGATAATTCTATTTGCTGAAAAAATTAAAGTAGTCGTAAAGAAGAAAACATAGGGAGGGCATGCTTGTTTAACTGGGTGGTGGCCACATTTTCCTAATTTTCTACAACTGTAGAAACCTCTGTTCTTGTTATTATTCAGTGATTCATTTTAATATTCATTAACCATTAGTGGGCCTGCAGAGGTGTTAAAAACACCTAATTTCATACACTGTCTTTAAGTAAAGTCTGATATTGGTTCTTCATTTTGGGTTTTTCTGGGCCTTTTTGTTGATTAAAATCTTTTCCTATATAATGTCTAACCAAACATCTTCTTATTTTGATGGTGGCTGAATTTCTGCCATGATAGACTGGACTTCTCTATTATAAGTCCCCAAGCTAGCCTATACTTTTGAGCAATCAGTTATACTAGGTAAAGTTAATAATGACAAACATAAATATATACTAGTATATTAGTTTCTTATAGGTGAGTAAGTGAGTAAGATCCTATGAATAAAAGATTTTTGATGCATTAGGCTTCTTGTTACCTGTTCACATGAGTGACTGAAATAACATTCTTTTCAGCAATATAAGATTAAAAATATGGAATCAGTATGTATGTATGTGTGTATGTATGTATGTATGTATGTAATAGGTTGCCTGACTTCCAAATTATTCTGGGTGGCTTACAACTAAGAATCAATATACTGTATGTAAAAAAGCATATAAAAGATGCAAGTGACAGGAAGAGCAAAGTATTCAAAACAAGACCAAAACAAAAAAACAAAAGAGGCAAAAAGAGGCTCCACAATTACACTGTCCTCAAAGCCTGGGAAAACCAGATCTTCAATAGTTTTCTGGATGATATAAGGGTGGGGGCCATACAAATCTCTGGAGAGAAATAATTCCAAAAGGCAGAAATTGCAACACAGTAAACACGCTTCTGGGTCCTGCAAGATGGCATTTTTTTTAACTGACAGGACCCAGGCCCAGTGTAATTAACTTACACTTAATTTAAATTTGAAGTTAAATAATATTAAATATAATGAATTAAATGCAATAAATATGTTAACTTTGTGTGTGTGTGTGTGTGTGTGTGTGTGTGTGTGTGTATTGGTCACCCTATTTCTGGAATAAGTGTAAGATGGAGGATACTGACTTAATTAAACATAGATTATTGTACTTTCTTTGCTATTAGGTCAATTCTATAACAATATTTTGTTATTTTTAGATATACACCACTTGATTTTGCCTTGCTGGGAGGTCACCACGAAGTAATTCAGTTCATGTTGGAGCATGGTGCATTATCTATAGCTGCCATACAAGATATTGCAGCTGTCAAAATTCAGGCAGTCTACAAAGGATACAAAGTTAGAAAAGCTTTTCAAGATAGGAAAAACCTTCTAATGAAGCATGATCAGCTGAGGAAAGATGCTGCTGCCAAGTAAGTTTGATATAGGAGCAAAAACTAAAAGTTGTTTTTAATATGTTTCAGTGTGCTGAATTCCTGCATATATGTGAATGTATACACACATAAACACACACACAAGTTCCAAATGCTGTGATGCATTATAGGATAAGTTTTATACTTCTATTCTAAATGGTTTCTTCTGATGTTTCTAGTAAACTAGTTACTCCTACAGGGAAAAGTAGATATTAATCATGCAATTAGATCTTGGGGAAGCTTTAGATGATGGATAGTGGGATGGAGGGATGGATAGATCGATCTGCTGAAGGAAGTGGTGATCCAGATCAAGATTGTGGCACAGGGGCAAAGCTGTTCCCAGTATTGAGTTGAAGTGCCTCCGCCCACTCTTGAGTCAAGAGAAAACTATCCTGGCAAGTCCCCATTGCCAATTCTTCTCCTGTGTCTGTTTCAATCCTCTGATTTGCCTCCAAGATAATAAGGTGACAGACCTTAACAGATTTTACACACCTTGACACTGCCTTTTGACATTGCTGAAATAAGAGGAAAACACCACTTTAAAGCAATATAGCTAAGGACAAGTTAAGCCTGTTTCACACACAGGCTGAGAATGAAATTACAACATCATGGGGTCACAGCTGAAAAGAGGAAGTTGGTGCAAGCAGGAAAAAGCCCAAAGACAGCTTTTTCTTTGATACTGCTATAGTTCCTATTTGGAATGCAAAACACACACATGTACATACAAAACTTACATACAGTTTGTAACAGGAGGCAAGTTGCCATTGATGCTAACTATAATTACCATCAAGGCAAACAAAAACTTCTTAGGGCCTCTCTAGATTAGGAGCAAGGGGTTAAAGCTCCCTTCCCCACTAGATCAGCATATATAGGCTAATGATGTGCTTAATCTCACATCTACTTTAGCTGTCAGTTGCTGCACTCAGCAAAATTTGCCTGTTATCCACTTACCTCCATTAGTTGTCTTGTGGGAATTGCTCATTCCTAAGCTTAATGATCATATATACCTAATAATAATATTACATGGGTTATTGGAAGTGACAAAGGAAATGAGAAAAGTATTCCCACTAAGACAGTCTCTGATATTCCTTTGTCCTAATCCATATAGACAGCATATAGTTTGCACATGCAAGCCCAACCTATACACCATTGATGGTGCTGTAATTTTTCCTCCCAATTTTCTGATTAAATGAAAGCATTCAATGAATACCAAGATTTTTTTTTTTTACAAAAACCTAGTAAGCGAGAGGTAAGTAGCAACTTTAACCATTTTCTTTTGCATTGTTTCAATAATCAAAATTCCCCTAAATGTTTTTCTCTTTTTCTGTTAAAATCTCTGTAACTTTTCTTTTAAGCATAAGAAAGCAGCTGTGGTGGGACTAAATGGGCAACTATAGAACAAGTTTACTGTACCCAAGTGTCAGTCTTGCTTTCTGAGTTTCAACTTTTCAGAGCCAAAGGAGAAATCAAACTAATATGAAACATTGTCTCTCCCAATCTGGAAAATAACTCTCAGAATTCTAGGTACATGCTGGCTGGGATCTATGAGAGTTGTGATCTCAGTGCATCTGGAAAGTGCAAGGTTGGGGAAGGCTATGTACTACAAATAGTTTAGACTACCACTGTGTGCAAAGGACTTACCCTTGCAGCATGCCAATAAAATAATAGGTGCTCGATAGGGAATAGGTGTTTGGAAGGTAGGCCAATTTTAGAAATAGGTATTGAGAATAAAACATTTAAGAAACACCAGCATATGCTTTTTTTAATTACTATCAGGCTCCTTTCAACTATGGCACTAGTGCAGATTAGAAGTCTGTTCAATTTATAGTTTGAAAAAATCATAGTTCCACAAACACTGTGAATTTGCTACTGTGTTAAGGATCAGTTTGAGTTTTCAGGTTCAGAAGTAGAAGAATTTAACCAGTCTGAGCACCAACCTGTCCCATGGGAATTAGCTGAAGAGACCATACTAGAGGAGAGAGGTGCAGGTAGAGTCAGCTGATTCAAAGACTGAGCCCAGCAACAGGTCGGAATTTTTTATTATTTTACAAATAGTGTAGAGCAAAGGAAGTCATACCATCAACCTGAAAGAAAGAAACATGACTTGCCAAATTAGTCAAGCTGATATTCAGGGCAATGCAAAAGAGATTACTTTTGTCAGTGGCTCTTTATGGCAAATAATAATAATAACAATAATAATGATGATGATGATGTTTTCCCTGTAACTCTTGTCTGTATGCTGTTGTTGGATTACCTGGAACTTTGGACTGAAAATAGATTATTGTTGGACCTTCCTGAACTTGGGATTTATCTCTCCAGACTTTTTTGCTGAAGTAAGCTCTCGTGCCTGTATTCTACCCAGAAAGCTTTGAGTTTGAAGTGTATTTTGTGTTACTTTGGTAAAAGAGTTATGATTGTAATAAATTTTTTGAGTTTGTTACCAGAAGCTGGCTGTGTGCATGTAACTGGCTGCACAGAATATGCTGCTGCTTAGGCACAGTAGCTACTGATGTTGATGTACAGTCAGGTCCAGAAATATTGGGACATCGACACAATTCTAACATCTTTGGCTCT